GGGATGGGGGGACTATGAAACTACAGGGAAAAATGGAATATAATCATTTGAATGCTACAAAGAGGAACGTTCAACCTTATTATTGTTATTTATCTAACGGATTAGGATCATTTGGACAGTCACGGGGGAAAATGTCTATAAATTTAGCTCCTCTAAAGTGAGAGGAATGCACTTCAGCACTAACAATTGCTGATTAAAATATTGAAAGTTGAGATTGTAATTAACTTCAAAGTTTGTTACTGTTGGAATCACCCCCACCTTGCCATTGGGGATTGCCTAAATTGTAACCTCAAAGCAGATACTTTAGTCCCACATGGACAAGGGTATATCCAACCTATAGTGTATATAAAGTAGAGAACCCTCAATTGGTACCTAAACGATGATGTTTCAGTCTCACATTGTTTGGTGATATAGCTAGGGTATACAAGTGGGGTGCAAACCTTGATTTATAAGACTAAGGTTGAGTTAGACTTATACTCAAAGTTTAAGAGTTAGATATGTACTTGATTTTGTCACGACACTCAACAGTTGATTATTCAATCAAAAGCAATAAGTGCCCTTTACTAGCTTGGTTGTAGAAGTACAAGCATTGTTTAAAAGTATGTCATTTGGATTACATATTCACGTCGTTATCATCATTATTATATCATATCTAGCAGTTCTGAAATGATATCAGAGATATAAAGATGTCCTGAAATGATATCAGAGATATAAAGATGTTCCACTGGTATTTTGTCAATTCTTGCGTTCGGCAGTGGCAGTTAGTTGCACTTGGAAAGATGAAACTAGTCCATTCCAATAGAGTACAGCAAATTCTTTTACTTTATCCACTCTCAAAACTGTTTTGAAGGAGAAAAACAGTTTCGATAATAGCATGCTCTTGAATTAGTTAACTTCATAAAAAAAAAGGTTGTTTTTTTTTTCTTTAAATATTTTTTGGCTTGTCAATAGCACCTCATAAAATGGTGTAATCACAGAACAGCATTATAGAGCGGCTAGAGAAGGCCACAATTTCTAAATACAATCAGCACATGCATTATACTGAATGAATAAAGTAGAATCTGTTAAACTATTTAAGCAATTAAAAGACTATTTTCCTTTGATGTTGCCATTTTGGGTGTATTAAATGTTATAAGTTTTCATATTGTACTTTTAAGCACTTTAAAATCATTTCAAACAAAATTCACTCAACATATGCTTTGGTCAGGTCTGCCAAACATGCCCTTAATGAAGGGAAACCAACTGCCGCAAATAAGAAAACCAAAAGCAAACAATCATGAATAGTGATATGGATCTCAAACCTGCTTTATTCCCTTTAATATTGCTTGAACCGTTTCTGGCTTAGTAACAGCTTTCTGCTTCTGGTCTTCACCTTTTGAACCACCCAAAGATGAAACTGGGACTAAAGGTGACAAAACAGGTGCTTCCTCAGATGAATTTGCCAGCAATGGAGCAGTAGTTGAAATTCCCTGAAACGGAAATAATCAAGTAATGAAAGAAAAAAAGATGAAGGTAAGAGAGTAGCAAAGCAACAATAATCCATGCATAGACATAAAATTATGAAACTTATAACACTAGCTTAGTAAACCCAGAGGTTTTAGTTTGATGCTTTGCAAAATATTAAATATGAGCAAACCTGTTTATTATAATCTCCAAACATAACTGAGTATGATCACAAAGTCTAAGAAAGTGTTTGCACAATTTAGGGCGCAGCAACAAGAATTGTTGTGAAAGTAATTTTGTTTTCAAATAAAAAAAAAATCCATAAAGAAAGAAGTGATATACAAATATAGGAGGATAAGATATCCCTGAAAAGACAACTAATTAAAGAAAAGATTATAAAGAACCAACAAAATAGAAGTCAAGACTAACAGCGTACAACCCACTTAAAAGACCAAGTTTCTAGTACCAAAGAGAAGCCAAAAACCTTATTCTTTCGCAAAACATTTCAGTGGCCAACCTCAAAAACATTATTTTTTCCAAATCCTTCTATTACAACTTCATCCATTATTGCGGCTGCTATGTGGTTACAGACTTCTGTAACTATAGAAGGGTCGAGAATCACATTCTATGAACTGTAATAGATGAAAGACTAACATAAGGAGAGATTGTATGTCTAGGGTTTTGCTATGATTAAGATTACCAAAAGTTAAATTCCCTGTTTATATAATCATCCTGAAGAAAATAAAAAAGATAGAGTGATTCTGTTAAGAGGGAATATTATAGAGGCATGGAAAGACCTCAATGACATAGGAGCCACCAACACAACCCTTGCCCAAATGTTTTGGGAAAGAATAAGGCTTTTTGTGTCTCGTGGTTGCAGACTCCTGTACTAACCCAAAACCATCCGTCTTTGCTTTCCATCTTATATTTTTTTGTTGATGACTTGAGACCAACTAATCCAAAAACTTTAAGCTACTATGTGAAAACTCAAAAATGGTTTATAAGTAAAGCACCTCCTCATGCAAGCCCGATGGAAGTTTGAAGTGTTGATAATGCACAAATCCCCATCCAACCTTGTACTTAATTTAACTTAAACCTAGTGAACTGCCAGACAGGATTGAACTTTTCACTTGGTCATAGTCAATATGATATCATGTCAATGACAAATGATCTCAAGGCTATATACTATTAGGTAATGGCTAGTGAACAATTTAACATAGAGGGGACTGTTCAAGAATTTAAACTGAAAAATGAAATTCAACCACCTAAAGATTATACGTTATCCAAAAATGAAAAGCCTTTGGGTTTTCTCTTAAAAGAATACCCAAATTAAATCAAACTCCATTGAGAGTTTCGATTAGCAACCATAGAAGCAAAGGGTTTGCATTCATCATTTAACATGTAAATGCCAGTCAAATTGCTTTTCTTAACTAATGTTTTCGATTTGCACGACCACGCATGATTGTGTTGTGTTGCTGTGGGTAACTTATGAGTGGCTGCATTGCATGGATCTTTTCTGTTTTTTATGGCATCTTTTCAGGTTATTTTCTTTTTCTCTCTCTGTAACAGGTTTTCTTTTCTGTTCTCCTATTTCTAAGATTTTCTCTTATGTTGTGCAACAGCAAGAACATCAACTAATGGGTAAAATTTTGTTGTTGCTATTGCCAAAAATAATGTTGCTAACTCATCTTCTCCCTCTCTTCACTGCACTCACTGTGCCAATCAGGACATACCCAGAATATTTGCTACCAAAAACATGGTTTCCCCTCCACTAATGACAGCAAAGGACATATAACCTCTCTAGAGGAGCAAACATGAGAATCCATATTCCATTGCAAGAGACAACCATTGCAATTATTTAATATACACTAGTTAACTTTAACTGGGTTACTTTTATTACTACATACATCCTTGCTGGAAAAATAAAATTCTGATAGGTTTCTGGATTACGAAACCTATCTAATTCAACACACACACACAAACAAGAGTCTAGACAGAAAATAGAATGTATCTGTATTATTATCTCAACCAATGTACAACTCTATCACCTCCAAGGGAGCCTAATTTCCCCTCCACAGGATAATGGTTCCTATCTTTACAAAAGAATCCAAAACTAACTCATACAAAAGTACATCAACCCTATTTATATGAGTTTATTCCCGCCCTCTTAACTGTTATTACAGTTAAGCTTCTAAAACACTTCCCGCTTTTCCTCCTAACTCTTCTTTCTCCTCTCATAAACCCTCCATACCCTATCAAATTCACTATAGTACATGAAAATACCTTCCCAGTTCATACTATTAGAGTAGAGAGGTTAAGAAAATGCCTTAGCATCCATTAATTTTAAAGTTTGGCAGAATTAATTTTGACAAAAAAAATCTTAAACTGGCACTTGTGATTTGAATGTGGTCCAAAGAACTCTAATTTTTTAACACCTCTCACACCCAATGCCACTATTATTTCCCTTCATCTCTCTCTCTCTTTTTATAACATCACCATCACATGTCCCAGTTCTCTCTCTCTCAGGGTATAAACACCGCAACTAGATGTCCACAAAACTTTTTCAAAACCATAAACTTTAGTGCCAAAAACGACCTAACAGGTAACAAAAAGCCTTAGTTTTACTATACCAGTGATCATGCCATCAAAACATAATTTTACCTGATGTTGGAAACCCAGGAAAATGGGTCTTGAGAAACAGGGCAAAGTTGGCATTGTTATTGTCCACGCTCTCCTCCCTATCTGACCTACAATACCAAAGCAAGTTTTACTCTAACGAATCCTTAAAAGTCACAAATTTAACAGAACTAAGACCCCAAAAGCGAAAACACGAAAAAGGGCAATAGAGAAAAGTCTTAACCTTGTGAAAGAGAAGAGGCTAAGCGAGAAATGGCAAGGCTTGGAGCTGAAGGATTGGCATGGTGATGATCCACAACTCGCTTGTGAATGTGGCGAAGAAAGGGAAAAATGAGTCTCTGCCACTTCACCATCTTTGGTCTGTGGAATGGAACAGAGATAATGTAGTTAGATACTCAATCTAGAAAAAGCGAGAAAGATGAACAAAAGTGTATGGAACATACCAAGGCAATACCTTCCACTGTGTTGTTGTGTTACTTGTTCAGAGCTGGGGCTACCGGTAACACTCCAAAATATGAATTATGATAATTTGAGAACATTTTTTACAACTAATCGATATCATTTTGACACGGCCACGTGTTGTTCTCTTATTGTTAGTCCATATGAAAAATGTTTTGAAAAATTGAAAATGAAGTCGAAATTGGAGGATTTGAAGTAAGATAACTATACCTTTGATAACAATTTTTTTAACATCCATTTTTCGTATTTATAATTATTATTATTATTATTATTTTCGTGTTTATAATTATTATTATTATTATTATTTTTATTTGTAGAATAATTTTGACGAAATAAAAAAAATGTTGTTAAAATAATTTCGAAACACCTACGAACGCCGAAACCACGTCGTTTTTGAAGCTCCTCGCCGTTCCTTTTGGTAATCTTTTGTTTTTGTTCGGTTTTAACTCAAATGCTGTATATTATTACTTATTTTCTGAAAAAACTGTTGCTATTGCCTTTGAAGTGCCTGGTGGCTGGAAAAAAGAGAAAGAAGCTATTATTTTGACCGTTGTACAGGTACTCCTTTTGTGCGAGTCATTATGATTTCAAGAGATCTCATGTTTATGTATTTGTATATTTTCTTTTGTCGGCATTCATGCACAAGAAAAGGAGGAAAGAAGGAATTGAATGGAAGTAACATTTCTTAGTACCGCAGATGCTTATGGGAGGAAGTGGGTCATTCTCCGCTGGGGGACCTGGAAAGGGAATGCACTCAAGGCTTTGTAAGCTTTCACTATGTATCTTCTAGTTTACAGCTGACTTTCATAAGTGATTTGATTTACCTTTGCCACTATGATCTTGAACTTTTCAAGTTTTTCCGTTTGAGTATAGTTTTCACTTTTTTTAATTGCTATATGAAGTCAATTTCACTATTTTCTGTTCATATATCAGTAGATCATCTCTTAACTTGTGCTTTTATATAATGGAATCCAGATCTTCGTGTCTTGAATGAATACCAGCAGATTCAATGTTTTTCTGCATTCAACAGTCTCTTCAACAATACAGGGTTATTTGGCTTATATGCAACCACATTAAGGCAAAATCTTTTCTTAAAACACAGATGTGATGTCTCTATTTAATTTTCTCTGAATTTTTTATTCATTGAATGGTTGGGTTAGTTCGTCTAGAAAAATAAGTTCCCTTTTATAATTTATTAACACAGCACAAGATATTTAAAATGTACTTCTAAGTTGAAGTTGTCTTGAACGTTGATCCGAAAATAAAATAAATTGTAGATTCCGCAAGTTGAAGTTGCACAGACTAGGTTTCCTATTCATTTTCCTCCTTCTTTTAAGCTCTTTTGAATTTTCGACAGAGTATTTTTAAAAGTATGAATTTTGAGCTCTTTTTCATGTGTCAATTTAGAGTTCTG